ATTATGTAAGAATATTATGGTTATGAGAAATTGGCAAAAATAAGATCTAAGTTTTAAATTTTAAGGTTTTTTATAGTAAAATAAGATTAAAATAGATTAAGGTAATGTAATGACAGAATATTATGAAATATGGAAAGGATTTGCTGCAACAATTAACAACTAGGATACAAAAAAAGGGAGGAGGAGGAGGTCAAAGAAAGAAGGTAATGACAGTTAAGGATTTGAGAATATTGGATTTTTTTTTAAATGTCTGTGGTATATTTTTGTCTTTTGATCGTATTGTGTTATTTTTTGATTTTGATTTCTATTAATTTGTATTGTTTGATTGTGGTTTGTTTTCCCTTTGTTTTTCTCTCTCTTTTTCTTCTTTGTTTTTTTTTGTAATTCTAAAATTTTCAATAAATATCATTTAAAAAATAATAACATGCCTGTTTTACTCCACAGAGTTACTTGCACTGGCATGCATGGCATCAGACTCATGTTATAATATAACCTGTGTATCTGCTTTTCAATACAATACAACCATGGCCCATTAGGATGACAGCCTGCTGCATATATATAGACATACTCATGACAAATGGTCACAAATATTATAGCTCATTAGCTCAATATTATTCCTCTCTCTCTCTCTTTAAAAATAATTTTATAACATACAAAATCCATAAACAAGAATTTACATGTACTCAACAATTATTATGGTGAACAGAAAATCACACTTATATATCTCTTTTTAAAAGTCTAAAGCTGCTAAAAAAGCTTCACCCTGCTCTTTCCTTCCACACACCCATCCATCAATGAACATATAACATAAAAAATATTGAGACTAACACAAATTATATTAATCATATATTGAACAAGGGACAGTTAAGGCTGAATTATTATTCTGTTTAGCCCACTCATATGGGCTTAAATATTCAGTTATCCCAAAGGAATTATCTCCTGATCCTCCAAACACATTGCTTACAAGTACTCTAAATATTATGGGGAATCTTATTAAAGCTCAGCTACAGTTGATCACAGAATCAGTGTCACCGACTTACAGCATTGAAAAGAGATTTTTTTATATTTCATCTTCTATGTCTGTTCTGTTTGACTGTCTTCTGTTTGACTGTCAATACAATACAATACAATACTAAATATTGCATAAGCAAAGTTGTCTAAAATACCATTGGTTTCTGAATATTTGGCCGAGGTTATTGTCCTCCTATTTTTCTAGTAACTATCAGGGAAAGCCAAAGTATTTTCAAAAAATGAAAACTTAAATGCTTAAGGACTGCACATCACCCACCATTTGTGATCTGCGCCATCCAGGAAGCAAAAGCAAAAACACCTTGATCCTGTATCACTAGAAGAATTTTAGACCCTACAAAGCATTGTAGGCATGGATCAGCAGCATGATTACTGTATCCAGGGATTTTGTGTTGGTTGGAAATTCCAATGTACTCACAGAGCTCATGATGTGCTCACTAGAATTTACCCAGTGACCACTTGAATGGAAAAGCCAATACAACACACCACAAACTAATGGTCAGGGATGATGGGACAGGGAGTCCAGAGTCAAGCTCTGGATATAGGTACAAATAATAAAACCATATATTTTCTTAAGTAACTTTAACTTGTGTTAATAAGCCAATGAGCCAAGCTACAAGAAATGTGGACAGAGACATCTTATAACACATTGCTCCTGAAAAGCTTTGCCATCAGTGGTGTACACATCAGAAAGGACATAGAGGGAAGGAGGGAGAAACAAACAGACAGACAAAGAGATACCATGTGGAAAGGTAAGATGGAAGAGAGGGAGAGAGCTGGGATAGAAGAGGAAATAAAAGAGTGGGATTTGTGATTAAAATCTTTGGGGGGAAAGTGAGCTCTAGGGTTTAAGGGAAATATGAAGGGTGTTGATTGGGGAGTCAGTACTGGAGGAAAGTGAATTCTTAAAAATGAGACCAGCAGATAGAAGAAGGCTATTCTCCCATGAGCTGCTGATGAATTTGGGAAATGTTGTGTACAAAGGTGTTATGAGTCAAAACCTTGGTTGCAAGCACCTACTCGCATGTGCGAACTCTTTAAGAAAATTCCTATCCATTCACAGGAACTGGGTGCTGTTGTTTTAAAAGGGGAGCATTCAAATACTTAACCACCCACCCCAGGCTGAAATGGTATAGTTGCAGATGAGCTGCACAATGTGATTCTCCTGCTTACATAGCTCAGCTAGAAATCTACTGGAGTTAGAAGATATATCTGATTCTGTTTTTTAACATATTAATGCACAATATTCACCCACAGCTTAATTTGAAAAGCACAACTAGGAAAGTACACACCTAATTGAGTTTGACTATAGAATTAAGACATGAATATTCAAATATCTCATCAGTGTGTTTTTCTTAAAGCTGCAAGGTTGCTAGGGGCTAATATCCAGATCTATTTACACATTGCATGCAAGATGCAGCAATGGATGCCCAAAATGTGTTAACTGCACAATGTGGTAACAGATAACAAAATTACATGTTACAGGCTGTTATCTACTTTGTGTCATGTGTTGTGCATTATTAAAATAGTTCAGTCTAACTAATGGATGTAACTGGCATTAATATAACAATAAATCAATTTACATACAATGTACAAAATTTTCATAAAATGTGCACATTTTATGTATCAGTTCATGAACTTACAGGTCCTGGCATTTCGTTCACATGGTGCAGGGAAGTCTAAGGTAAGGTAAAGGTAAAGGAACCCTGGACAGTTAAGTCCAGTCAAAGGTGACTATGGGCTTGCAGCGCTCATCTCGCTTTCAGGCCGAGGGAGCCGGCGTTTGTCCACAGACAGCTTTCCGGGTCATGTGGCCAACATAACTAAACTGCTTCTGGTGCAACAGAACACCGTGACAGAAGCCAGAGAGCACGGAAATGCTGTTTACCTTCCCATCACAGCGGTACCTATTTATCTACTTTCACTGGCGTGCTTTTGAACTGCTAGGCAGGAGCTGGGACAGAGCAACAGGAGCTTACCCCATTGTGCGGATTCAAACCGCCAACCTTCTGAACAGCAAGTCCAAGAGGCTCAGTGCCACCCTCATGAAGACAAACCACACAGAGGCTGGTATGTCTGATGCTCTAATGGCTAATTTACTCATTTAATGAGCCTTAGTATACTTGTATCCAATGTTTTCTCTGTTTGACTATATTCTGCCAAAGAGGCAGAGGCTCTTTGGGGATTCAGAACAGAATCAACAAACAAATGGGGTGAAGGTTCAATATTTTATTAAACAGCCCAAATAAATCGACAAAGAGTTGCCATTATCTTCAGGCCCTCTGTTGGTTTGGGATGTCAGTCAGCAATGGACACGACTCTTGAGGCTGAGCTAGTGGCCAGTATGCATCACTATCCAGATAGCCTCGCATAGGAACTCAACCAACTGGTGTGCTCTTGGGATTGGGGTTACGTAAGCCACAGCTAACATTCACATGTGGGGTTTGGGTGACACCTCTGTTCTCACCCAAGATAAAAGCTACTTTTTGGGGGGAGACAGATAACGTAAACAACTTCTAAGGCTAGCCAATACTGTATGAAACCTATCCGAAAGACTAAAATATCCTCATGGTGCCATCTCAACATAACCAGCTGTAAGAAACTACTATTACATAGAATAATAGGAAACAAACAGAATTAGCTTCTTAAAGATCCCAATCCCACGAGATCTTAAGGCATTAGCTGCTCAGGAGAGGGGCTATTGCTGGGCACTATCTCCTCAAAATCATAATGGTCTTCCACAATGTGGAAATACAGACTGTAAGAAGAACCCAGGGTTGTGCATTTCATTTTGGGAGGAGAAATGGGGGGGAAAGGAATGCCAACTTGACTAAAATATTGGGGAGCAGATAAGCCTCGCTTCACTAAATCAATCACAAGATACACAAACATACACCCTTTGAACGGCAATGCCCATCAATTTGGAGGGAGGGGGTCATCCCCTTCAAATATTTTATTGAGGGAATCAAAGGGAATTCAGCCCTTAGGAGTTGGATCCTGTGCAGGGGGAACCAAAAGGGTTAGGCACAGTGCTTTTTTTCTTTAAAAAAATGTTTAGGTGTACTCTCATTTTCCCACTCATATTGAAATACTGCCCCTCAATGAGGCCAAACTTAGATTCACAAAATGTTTAGGGGTATGCGTACCCCCACAACCCCCCGAAAGAGCACTGGTTAGGCACATTCTGAGCTTTATGCTGATTCTGATATTCTACGGCAAATAGTTTAGTTATCCAGCCGTTTGTTATCAATATATCAGCCCTGAAATTAAACCATTCATATGATAGGAAACCTAGACTACTTGCCATAGAATATTAGCAACAATACTCCAGAGACGAACCCCTATCTCCCCCAACCACTTAGATGCTAATTTTTAAAATGCTGCTTATAATTTATTTCAGCTTGCATAAAAGGGAAAGGGCTACAGAACCATGTTTGTTTTCAAGCACCCTCCAAAATGTGATCAGCATAATGTGGAAATATTACTTTCCCCTGAATTTCAGCAGTTGGGTGTGTCCATGGTATTGTGTTTCAGGCAACCTGAAGAAGTAGAACAATATGTCGGATATTCTCTCTCTCTCTCTCTCTCTCTCTCTCACACACACACACACACACACACCTTTTTGTAAAGAAATTAAAATATTTTTCTCTCCTACAGGGGTAATTGATGGAGACATGTACCCGAAAACAGCTACAAGCTACAAGGGAGATATACAGCTCAAAATAACACATTCAACCAACATATGATTGAATAGAAAAATGTTTCTATTCCTTCTACCTTTTATCATTCTTAAGGTGAATCCATGCTAAAGGATCACTCTGTTGGGAACTTCCTGCATCCTATGCCTGGTGCGTGTCCACTACAGTAAAATTTTAATTTATGCTTAGTTTCAAAGTTCCTTGAGATAGGGATCTTTAATTTTTTTGTTTTATTTTTTGGTTTTGTGTCTTATAATTTTTTTTAAATCTCTCCCCCCCCCCATATATATATATATATATATATATATATATATATATATATATATATATATATATGAGTATTGTGGGCTCAGAGAATAGCTTTTGCCATGTCAATGGCATGCTTGGATTTGTTTTACAAACATAGTCACCTCCTATGAGGACAGGCAGATATAAGTGCATGTTGAGCTCCTACAAGCACGAGCCATTGGCAGGACACTAGAGCACATTTGTGCGACTTCAAAGTGGCCACACAGATGCAAGAAGACATCACAGACCCTCCAAGTGTCCCTGTTTTCCAGTCAACCCAGTAAGGTGTGTGGGGTATAAATAGTAAAATTATCATTATGGAGGGTATGACATCATGTTATTAAGTGTGAGTGTAAGCACACCCATAGGTTCTTTTCCGTTCTCTGATAAGTCTTTAAATTATTTGTAAATCATCTCACCTCAGATAGAAGGTCCTCCAGTAAAGAATCAGAGCATGATGGTTCCTCAGAATACAGAACTCCAAATGACAGATCCTGGGCAATGCAATTGAAGAGGGTGATGTCATCACATAGCAGAGGGTGAAGTTCACCACTCCCTGACATGGCTATAATGCTGTACATGAACCAGGAATTCCATTGGCATGCCATTATCCATGAAGGCCCAGTTTTTGTGATTCTTCCCCTTGTTTTCTTTGGCCACCAGGACTTTAACAAAAATGAAACCCAGCTAATATATATGTATATTCTGGACATGATTCAAAAATCATTGATTAAATTAACTGTGATCAATTTTTGGATCCGGTTTCTCTGAGGTCAGTGTTAGCAGTAGCAACAAACATTTTGGAATACTCAGCTGATCACAAACAAATAACATGGTTAAAACATTAAGGGAATGTTTGGGGATTGTATTCAACTAAGCTCTGCTCAGAGTATACCCATAGAAGTTAGTTGATATAAGTAACTTAGGCCCATTAATTTCCATGGATGTACTCAGAGTAGAACTTAGTTGGATACAACCATTTGACTTTGCACAATTTAGGAAGCATTTTTATACCACCTAGTTCAAAATTAGGGTTTAAGGACTGTCTAGTCCTCTTAGTTTCTAAATCAACGTCTTACAGTTCAGCCAAAGTTAGTTTTGGCTCGGCTTGAGATCCTGTACTTAGCTGTGAATGCCGCAGCTCAGAAAACAATCGTATGCAGGACATTCCCCCCATAAGTTATTTTAACTCATTGGGATTTGTTCATGAGTAAACATAAAAGCCATTCCTTCTAGGTGCTGCTACCAAGCTTTACACATGGAACAAAACCATGTGCTAAAATCAAGTGTTTTCTTATGTGCTAAGATGCTTTTTGTTTTACTCCAAAGCCTGCCTTTCTGTTTCAGTAGAAGAAACTGCTCTGAATAGGTCCTTCTTTAAACCCATGAATTTAGTCCCCACTCCATGAAATTAAAGGGGCACATTTAACAGCTTTATATGTACAGTGGTATACATACAGGATTCTGAACTGAGGCATTAATAAGCAACAATTCTATCCCAATAAGCTTAACAAAACATAGTATCAGTCATACATCTCCTCCCAGTATAGGTCTCATTGTTTCAGTGCTGAGGGTCTGGCTGACAAAACCCTATTCTTCCTTTATATTTATCTGTGGACCCCAATCAGAATAAACATTTTCAGTGTTGTGAACTTGAAAAATAGTTTAGGGGAAGTATTTCAGCAGTGTTTTGTTTGCCACATGCTATCTTTTCTTAGGTATACATGCAATTCATCAAACATACTAAAACCAAAGCAAAATGTTAGTTTTCTGGAACACAGAAAGTACAGAAACCAGGATCCAGCCTAAGTGATACACGTCTAATGTCATTTTGATTTCACTGGGATATCATTAAATGGGCCCTGAAAGGGCTTCACTTTAGCTGGATCAAAAATTCCCAATATTATTTCTTGAATCTCATATCTTTATTCACTTTTACGTTTCTCACTATGCCAGATTTGAAGGTTTGTAAACCACATCCTAATGTTATAACAGGCAAAGCCTGGGGAAATGATTGGCCTATTTAATGTTATTATCCTTTGATCTTGGTAGCAGACAATTTGGGTGAGTGGCACAAAGGGTAAATTCGAGAAGGAGGAGAAGAAGAAGGAGGAAGAGGAGGAGGAAGTATGTCTCTCAAGAAATTGTACTGTGGCAGATTGTTGAAACCAAAAGGTTTTGCAGTGGAATCCTATGTATGTCTCCAGAGAAGTAAATACAGGACTGGATTCTTCGATTATTATCTGGAACCGACCACAGCAAAAATGATTTGCTCAAAAGTGCTATCCTTGGGCTTTCCCCTACTTCTGTATGACTTTTTGGCTTGTATTGAGTGCTATTAATAAGCTACAGCATCAAAATAATCAGTGAAGCTACTTTTGTATGAATCACTGGAAGATGGCCTTGTAGGTCAAATATATAAAACCATTTAATTATGAAGTGGTAAGTATGCTAAACAAATACTGAAAGAAAAATGGGATTTACATGGTGGAATATTAAATTAACAGTAGGCAGTACTTGTTTTGATCAAATACTAAGTTGGTTGCAAGAGAACATTTAAGAAATCTTGTTACTAGTATCTTTAGCAGTTTAGCATTAGAAGCAACTTATAACACCAATGAAATCAATTATTCATTTACAACCATCCTCTTACCTACTTTCATTGAAGCTGGAGATATCCCCATGACAGGCTCAGAGATTTGAATTCAGCTTACAGTTGGTAATTAATTGAACAGCTTTGAAAGTGACCACAATAAAACACTTCCATCCACAGCACTGCCATTGTGCTCACAATTCATTTCAAAGGAAGAAGATCATTGTGCCAATAAACGGGGCAATCTATGTTTGCAAACGCTTCTTTGAGCCCTGCAGTTTGTAGGAGTTGTGGACTGAGGCAACATTTTTCAGATCAGACTTCAGCAGTTGAACGATGCATTTTGGAGAAAAGAAATTCATAAACGTTCATGGAAATTATTTAGGTGCATCAGTTCAGATCAGGACATTCATATGTACAGTTTGTGTGTGTGTGTGCGTGTGCGCGCGCGCGCACACACACACACACACAATGCCACTGAAGAATATACTTAGCATCTCCCTTGAAATCAATTATGGATTAAGAAAAAATAGCCCACACAATTGCCGTTTGTCTAATTCTAAGAGAAAATGATTTTCTTCCTTCCAACTCAGCACAAAGCATAAAGGCAAATAGCCTGTGCATCTTTGACAGAGAAGTCCCTTGTACGCTAATGCTTGAAAAAATCAATAGGAAATATGGGTACTAAACAAAAACAGCAGAACTAGAAAATGGAAGGGAAACTCTCTTACAAATCCTATAGCATTTTTATAGGGTTATTTGCTTGCTTTAAATTAAATTGTCCATCATGGTTACAGAAGGCATAGAAGGTAATCAGAGGCTTTTTTTTTAGGCGTAGTGTTTTTATTTCATCTGAGGCCTGACCCAGCCCCTTCTTTATACACACCACTGGGTACACAAAGCAATATGTGTACAGGAGTGGGATCAGTAATTAAGGGGATTCTCACACTAAAAGCAAACTATGCACAAGAGGAAATAGAAGATGGGGCTGGTGCCTGAATTGTCCCTTTTCCTTCGGCATTTCTCAAAACTGAGTTTCTATTTTAGAAACTAACTTTTAGAAAAGTAATTCCCAGCATTCTTTAGTTTTGGAGTACTGCGTTCACTGGAAACAAAATATTTCCAGAGATTTTTCAAAAAAATAAATTTGGCTATAAGTGTCATACTTATTATTTTTATAACAAGCATTTTTTTAAACAAACAAATAAACTTCTTACGTAAGTCTTTCTTCCTTTAAAAAAAATAGATTTAGCTAATCCTATCCTTATGGCATCTGTGCATACACTTATATCTAGTTCTGAGCATTGATTAAAACCTATGCAACATTTCTGTACACGTTCTTGAAGCAACCAACCAGGGCGTCACGATCAGACAGAAAACAAAGTTAGCTATTGCATTGTGAAGAGCATTACATTCTAGACTGCCAGCAGCCTATGCTAGCCAGAGCACTGCAGACATTAGACACTGACACTTTAAATGCAACAACACTTTAGGTATTTTCACAGTCAGAAAACCATTACAACATGGAAACATTTTGGGCAAAATGAGACACAGCTTCCTACTGTTTTGTTATAGTTTTGTTAACACACAACTGAGGAGGATCAGAAGTGTCTTGTGAAAAGACTTGTACTCCTTCTGCAAGTATATCCCATTTCCCCCCAAACAGATGCAGACTATGGACTATATCATCTAATCTATTGGTAGTCAACCATTTGAACGGTGGGTCACCAAGACCCATAAGTCTGCAGACGGGAAGCAGTGCAATCAGTAGCTGAAAGTAAGAGTCACCCAGCTGTGTCTCTTTTGATGTATGAAAGCAATTGTTCTGCAGCCTACCACAAGCAAGAGCGTCATTTGACAAATGTAAACGCAGCCATGGCTCAATAGTAGTTTCCTTCTGCACATAGAAAACCAGTGCAAACCTAGAGGGTCTGGATGAAACACCAACATTGCAATCCTATGTATCACTACTCGGAAATAAATTCTATTATGTTCAGTGGGACTTACTCCCAGGTAAGTGTGTATAGGATTGCAGCCTAAGAGTTTTATCTTAACAGGTTTATGTGTAATTAGGTATGTGTGACTAAGTAGGGGCAATCTTAGGAAAAACTAGGAGTGATTGTCTTCACCTGATCACATAGTTGGCATGGTCACAGATGTCAATTTGCTGCCACACATCAAAACTGGCACAAATATTATCCAGTTTTTTGTTTGTTTGGGTGGTGGTGGGGAAATATGTAAACACAATCTCTTATCATTATCCATATCTAAACCCCCTTGAGGTTAGAATGTTGCTTTTCCCACACATTTTGTGAAATTGGTGGGGATCTTTGCAAACAAGATACTATCAGTACTAAAGATATCAGTACTAAAAGGCAGCCAACTTTGCTATGAAATTCGTTACCTAAGTTGCTGAAGACTTAAAAGGCAGGCTTTCCAAAATATTGTCAGCTGATCATCCTAATGGC